AAATACAATGAAAACAAAATGAAATGATGGAAGTAAAAAATAGAATTTGAAAAACATAAAACAGTAAAAAATACAGTAAAAAAACTAAAGAAAAATATTTTTAATAGAAATGGAAAATAAAAATAAATTTTTTCTGTTTCTGTATCCAATTATAAGAAAAAAAGGAAAAAAAATTGAATAGATGGACCAGTAAACAGACTGAGGTATGATTGAAATTACATCGGTTTCCCCTAAAAGTGGAAGTAGGAAGCACTTTATAGTCCGTAAACTAAGGAGGCAGAGAGACTTGTGGTGTTCCTGAAGAGCAAGGTTGTCCCAGTTGGGCAGGGCTTAGTGTTACGGCTCCGTTTCTCACTAGATGGTGCTGCTTAGCTTACTGGGGTGGATTGTTGTGGCACCTGTAGGTGTGTATGCACATGTGCAGGAAGGGTGAAAATGGTGTCACCCAGCTACCCAGTCTCTAGTATCAGAACTCTGTGCTCTCCCCGATCAGCAATTGTGCACCCCTCCTTTGTCCCTGGATTCTGTCCACACCCTGCTTTTACACTGTCCATGATCAAGCTGTCATGTTGCCAGGCGGTACCTCCCTCTTTTGTTCAGTCCCTTGCATACTCTTCTTATCTCTCGAGCTGCTTTCAGGCGTGAGGGATGCTTTCCGTACTCTGCCCCTGGCTCTGTCCTCTCTCTGCAAGCAAAAACAGCTCCCTGCCCTCTGCGGCTTTCTCCCCCAGTCACCTCTCCGTGCCATGTACCTGCTGGTTCAGGTTGTGCAGAGTGTTGTGTTATTATACCTCAAATCAGTATTCTAGGTGTGCAGGATGGTTTAGTGTTGATCTGGCTATATTGCATGGATGAGAGATGCAAAAAAAACCTTCCATGGTGTTCTGCCATCTTGGCCCCTCCCCCACTTCCATGTATTTTTTTATTCTTTAATTTCCTCATTAACCCATTCATTCTTAAGTAGGATGTTCTTTAACTTCCATGTATTTGTTGTCTTTCCAAATTTTTTCTTGTGTTTGACTTCATGTTTCATAGTGTTGTAGTTGGAAAATATGCATAGTATGTTCTCCATCTTGTTTTATTTGTTGAGGGCTGATTTGTGAGCCAGTATGTGATCTATTCTGTAGAATGTGCCAGGTACATTTGGAAAGAATGTGTGTTCTGCTGCTTCAGGATGAAATGTTCTGAATATACCTATTAAGTCCATCTGGTCCAATGTGTCATTGAAAGTTATTGTTTCCTTGTTGTTTTTTTTGCTTAGATGATCTGTCCATTGTTGTAAGTTAGGTATTAAAGTCTCCTACTATTACTATAGTATTAACAATGAGCTTCTTTATGTTTGTTATTAATTGATTTATATATATGGGGCCTTCACGTTGGACACATAAATATTTACAATTGTAAGATCTTGTTGGACAAACCCTTTTATTATGATATAGTGCCCTTCTCCTCTCTTGTTACAGCTTTGATTTAAAATATAGTTTGTCTGATATAAGCACAACTACTCTGGCTTTCTTTTGACATCCATTAGCATAAATGTTTCTCCATCCCACACTTTCAATCTGTAGGTGTCTTTAGGTCTAAAATGAGTCTCTTGTTGGCATCATACAGATGAGTCTTGTTTTTTATACATTCTGATACCCTATGTCTTTTGATTGGAGCATATAGTCCATTTACATTCAGAGTGATTATTGACAGATACGAATTTAGTGCCAGCATATTGCCTGTAAAGTCATTTCCGAGGATTTTCTCTGTTATTTTTGGTTTTTCTTTCCTGCTCAGAGAGTCCTCAATTATATTTCATCAGGACTGGGTTAGTGGTCATGAACTCCTTTAGTTTTTGTTTGTCCAGGAAACTCTATCTCTTCTATTCTGAATGGCAGCCTTGGTGGATAGAGCGTTCTTGGCTACATACTTTTCCCCTTTAGCACTTTGAATATATCATGCCACTCCCTTCTGCCTGCCAAGTTTCTTTGGAGAGATCTGCTGCTAACTGCATTTTTCTTCCCTTGTAGATTAGGAATTTCTTCTCCCTTGCTGCTTTTAGGATTCTTTCCTTATCTCTGTGTTTTGCAAGTGTTGGCCTGCTTTTGTTGATTTTGATGGGAGTCCTCTGTGCCTCCTGGATTTGGATATCTGTTTCCTCCCCCAGATTAGGAAGTTTTCAGCCCTTATTTGCTCAAATAAACCTTCTGCATCTTTTACCCTCTCTTCTTCTTCTGGGAATCCTATGATAATGAATGTTATTATTATGGAGTCACTGAGTTCTGTAAGTCTACTTTCGTGATTTAAGATTTTTCTTTCTCTTTTCAGCTTCATTATTTTCCATAATTTTATCTTCTGTATCACTTATTTGTTCCTCTGATTCTGCCCTCTTTGTGGTCATTGCATCCAGTTGGTTTTACATCTCAGTTACTGCATTTTTTATTTCAGTCTGACTAGTTTTTACATCTTTTATCTGTAGTAAGGGGCTCCCTGGTGTTTTCTTTGCTTGTCTCAAGCCCAGCTGGTATCCTTGTGATTATTGTTTTAAATTCTGAATCAGGCATATTACTTATATATGTTTCAATTAGGTCCCTGGCGGTGACCTTTTCTTGTTCTTTCTTTTAGGATGAATTCCTCCATCTTGGCACTTTGTCTAAGTCTCTGTCTTCTGTGTGTTAGGAAAGCCTGTTATGTTTTCTCCTCTTGAGAGTAATGGCTATAAGAAGAGGTCATATACTGTCCAGAGCTTGGTGCTTCAGGAGTTGTCTCTGGTGTATGCTGTGTGCACTCCGCTGTTGTGTTTTGGCTGCTCCTTCCCTCAGGTCAGTCCTCTGCAGAGTTTCTCTTTGCCTGCCATGGGCAATGTTTTGCCCTTGGCCAGAGTGTGGTGAGTTTTAAGTATGTGTACTTTGGTCTGCTTACTTAAAGAAGCTAGACCCAATTTCCACTAGAGCTGAATCTTTGCAGCGCTCTGTGGTCAGTAGACTCGGTGCGTGCAGGTGGGGGTGTTTGTGCTGGTCTTCTGGGGGAGGGGCCCATAGCCCTAGATCAGAAGCAGCTGCAGAGTGCAGCAGGGCAGGGCTTGGTGTAAGTGGCTCACGCCTGCACTGTGGGTGCTCTGCTGCTCCCTGGTCTGCCAGTGCTGATGGGTGCAGGAGAAAAAGGGCACCTGCCCTCTCCCTTGTCGCTGGAGATGGGAGTTTGCACCTGCCACTGTCAGGGAAGCCTCCACAGAAGAGTGAACAATCTCCCTTCATGTTTCCCAGGCATCCCTCAGATCCTTGCCTTCACCCTGTCTGTGTCTGGGCTCCTTGCCTGCCCAGCAGGCGTGTGTTTCATCTCAAGTGCACCAGCTGAGTGCCAGAATTTGAGGGACCCACGCTGACCCTCTGGGTGAGGGTGTCTGCTCTGGGGCTGGTGCTGGTTTGTCCCAGGTCAGTCACATAAACGCACAGGCACTTAGAGTTTAGGGTAAAGCTCGGCAAGAAGCTGGCCTCCAGGTTAGCTGCCCTCAGCAGGTGTCTCTGCACCTGTGCTAATGAACTGGGCGGCCCAGTGGAGCCCAAGGGCTCTTTGGCCCCAGAAAGGCATTGCTGCCTCTCCCAAATGCACTCCAAGAAGGGGACCTGTCTCTCCCAGCATGACCCGCAGACTGCACTGTCTGCTCCCGGGCCTCCACTCCCCCACAGAAGCGCCGCTGTGCCCCCTGGGCTCCACACCAGCCACGACCCGGACTTCTACTAAAACTTCAGTCTTTGAGCTCTGCTGCTTGTACAGACTCCCAGCAATCAGCCCCTCTCATTTTCCCAGTCAGTGGTTTTGGGGGAACGCTTTTCTTGTGTGATCCCCCGTGTGCCACACGCTCTCTCTCTCTCTCTCTCTCTCTCTCTGTCCCTCTCCATGATCAGGGCTTCTTCCCCTCCGCAGCACCCATGATTGTTTCTCTCCCAAATCATGTCTCCGCACCTTTTGCCTTCCACGATGTGGCCTCTTCTCTCCCTCCAGTTGTGTGGTCTGTTCCGTCAGTCCTCAGATCGATTTCATGGGTGTTGAGGATGATTTGATACTTATTAAATTCATCGTCTGCTTGAGGCAGGTTGCTGCTGCCGTCCCCATTTTACTAGGGTGAAATTCCCTTAGGGGCCCAGCACACGTCCTGACAGCCTGGCTGAGGAGGGAGGACTTCAGGATACTTGATTGACTGTCAGAGCCAGAACCGGCATCCGGCTCTTGGTTGTATGGAGTCTGCGGGATAGTGAGAAAGGGTGCACAGAGTACACGGCCCTGTACACACGGACCCCGCACACACCCTTACTACAAGCAAGGCTTGTGTTCTTCCCGTGGCTTCAGGGTCAGATTCCTATGAACACCTAAATCGCACTCATTGCTGTTCAGAACTGACATCTTTACCCCGAAAGGATGAAGTAACCGTATTTCCCAATCCGTTACCACATCAGGAGTGAGTTTACCGCATGAGGGTCAGTACACTTCTCTCTGTTGTTGGCTTGTGTGGGTCTAGCATCCATTTTTACTTATAAGTGCTTGATCCTTAAATTGCCTGAAAGGAGTGTCCTGAAAACATAATTATATTAAGTCCTCTATAAAAGAAGAAAAAAATTCAAAAGCTTTGTAGATGAAAATTGATGAGCGATGTACTGTCTCTACACGGCCAGACCTGAAGGTGGGACCTACACCCGACACATTCTTAGTCTCAGGTATGAGAGAGAGGCTCCTGTGTTGGCTGAGGAAGATTTCTTCATCTAGCATCTCAAAACCCATATAAGATAAAACTCCATCATGTGACTAGATTATTAGCTTAAAAATAAAGTGAATGGACAGCAACAAATAAAAAGAAATCCTCAAGTCTCTGTTCTTTTCTCAGCTTCATCCTCAAATTCCTGTTTATACCCGTTCTGAGTTGTTCTGAGAAAGGTGCCATAAGCCGACTAAATTGGCCATTTGCTCTCAGACTTGGCATCTTCCTGCAGCATGATGACCTCCTCTTCTTTTTGTAGATTGACTGTTACAGACTCGGATGGAGCCACTGACTCCACAACTGCAGTCCTCATGGTCAGCGGTGCTGTGGACCATCCGCCGGTTGCCAACGCAGGACCAAATCAGACCATAACTTTGCCCCAAAACTCCATCTGTTTGAATGGAAATTGGAACAGTGATGATCATCATATTGTCCTCTGTGAGTGGTCCCTGGGTCCTGGGAGTGAGAGCAAAGAGGTGGCCATGCAGGCAAGTTCTCTATTCTGCCTTCAGACTTTTACTTGTCTATCCGTCCACCTACCTGCCCTCCCAACCGTGTACCCATCCGTCCATCAATCCACCCATCCACCCACCCATGCAGCTATCCATCTGCCTGCTCATCCATCCATTCATCCATCCATCCATCCATCGGGACATCTGTCCATCTGTTTATCTCTTCACACATTTACCTACCTACCTACCTAAAGTATTGCTATGCGTGTGGGGGGCAGTTATATCTAGAAAATATGTTTTACAAGATTATCTGATAGATTACAACTATTGGAAGAGCCCCGGAATTCACAAATCTTCAAAATTTACGTCCTTTCCCCCCATGCATTCTCTATAAGCACGGAATAGCAACTAAGTGGGTCCCATGTTGACAGCTTGATCTTGAGGCTAGTTTGGAGAAAGTCTGACCCAGCATTTGCTACGGAAATACTATTTTATTTTAGTATTGGGAGAAACTTTAGAAATAATCCAATATAAACTTTATTATCAGGAATTTTTTCCTTATCGGCAGTAACAAGGTTATTGTCCAGTGGTTGACAGATTAAGATGTTAAAAGAGGTGAACTTTTTATTAACTGGAAAACCACAAAGACGGCTGTAAACCAGACTCTTACATTCGTGGAAACGTCATGCAAGGCAGCCTGCCGCAGCAGCTTTGCTCCGGATGGGGAAGCCCACGGAGCACTCCGATGGGGTGGCTCTGTGGGCGCCAGGTGACACATGTCGGTCTGCCCAGTTCCCGTCTGCCACAACATTCCCTGTACTGGGTACATAAGCCTTCATGTAACTGTAGTAATTTTGAAGTGAGGACTAGGAAATTACACTTTTGTAAAGCTTTTCAGAGAAAAATGCTTCACTTTATTTAGTCAAAAGTAGGGAGGGGAGCCTGGGTGGCTCAGTCGGTTAAGCTTCTGACTTCAGCTCAGGTCATGATCTCGCAGTTTGTGGGTTCGAGCCCCACCTTGGGCTCTATGCTCACAGCTCAGAGCCTGGAGCCTACTTCGTATTCTGTGTCTCCCTCTCTCTCTGCCCCTCCCCCTCCTCACACTCTGTCTCTCTCTTTCATAAATAAACATTAAAAAAAATTTTTTTTTTATAAAGTAGGGAAAAGCTGTAACAAAAACTGGAAACAGTCTCGGTGTTCATCAGTGGGGAGTGGCCAGACCCGCCATGATACATTATACAATGCTAGTTTAAAAGAGATAACTTAGGGGCACCTGGGTGGCTCAGTTGGTGAAGTGTTTGACTTCAGCTCAGGTCATGATCTCGCGGTTCGTGGGTTTGAGCCCCATGTCGGGCTCTGTGCTGACAACTCGCATTGTGTCTCCCTGTCTCTCTGCCCCTCCTCCCTATTCACTCTCTCTCAAAAATAAACATTAAAAAAGAAAAGCTGATAACAAAAACTGGAAAAAAACCTCAGTGTTTTTTTTAAGTTCTTAAAAGTATATATTTCAAATTTCACAAGTTCCCCTTGTGCCAACACAGTTGGTTTTCTATCATCTTTTTTTCAATTTTCCATGAAAACCTTTAACAAATACATGCAGATATATTTATCTTTAGACAATCTCGGGATCTATAAAAGTAAGTGAAGTATAAGAGGATTTAAGATTAAAAATCCTTTCTTTGTTGCCATGAACTTCAGACCTAAGCAATAATTGGAAATGTTACCAACAACAACAAAACAGCAACAAAACGAAAGGTTATTAACTTGGAGACAAGTGTAGCTATGATATACTCAATGGAAAAAAAATATCGAAAAGTTTTGTTTTAGAATTTTAAAAAATTATTTTTAGCTATAAGAGTAATACATGAATTGCTTCTTATGGTTAAAAAAAAGTGAACTTCTGATAAAGTGCAAATACAACCCGTATCCCGCTCCAGTCCCCTTATTGGAGATAAATTACTTTGGTCAGTTTAATGTGCGTCCTTCCAGAATCCTTGCGTGTGTATGTATACGGACACGTAACAGTATCTGGCACACTATATGCCTTGTTCCACAACTTTCTCTCTTTGCTTGATGATGTATGTCTTTGACATCTTTCCATTTCATTATAAATCTACCTTAATGTTTGTTCATTTTTGAGAGAGAGAGAGAGACAGAGCATGAGTGGGGGAGGGGCAGAGAGAGAGGAAGACACAGAATCCAAAGCAGGCTCCAGGCTCTGAGCTGTCAGCACAGAACCCAACATGGGGCTCGAACCCACGAACCGTGAGATCATGCCCTGAGCTGAAGTCGAACGCTTACCAGCAGGGCCACCCAGGTGCCCCTAAATTAATCTCTTTTAAACGAGCATTGGGGCGCCTGGGTGGCGCAGTCGGTTAAGCGTCCGACTTCAGCCAGGTCACGATCTCGCGGTCCGTGAGTTCGAGCCCCGCGTCAGGCTCTGGGCTGATGGCTCAGAGCCTGGAGCCTGTTTCCGATTCTGTGTCTCCCTCTCTCTCTGCCCCTCCCCCATTCATGCTCTGTCTCTCTCTGTCCCCCCAAAAAAATAAATAAAAGTTGAAAAAAAAAAAAAAAAACGAGCATTGTATCATGTATCATGGCGGGTTTGGCCACTCCCCACTGATGAACATTGAGAGCATTTCCAGTTTTTGTTATCAGAGCCCATGCTTCCTCAGGGTCCGGCGTGAGCCTCCTTGTGCATGTGGGCTCTCTCTGGTGGAGGCAGAGAGAAGTGGTATTGCTGGTTAAAGAGCATGCTCGTTTGCCATGCAAATGGATGTTGCCAGATTGGCTTCCAAAACGGCTATATTAATTTATACTTCTTCAAGAAGCACATGAGGATACACAGTGAACTTTACATTGCATTTTCTTGGGACACACACATTTCTTTTTCAAGCAGGATCTCCATATTTAACAACATTACTCATTTTTCATTATGTCATACTACTTCTTAAAATTACTTTTTTTCTTTCCTTTTTTCTTGTCTCTTTGGTATCAGGGCATCGAGACACCATACCTTCATTTGTCTGAAATGCAGGAAGGAAACTATACGCTCCGGCTGATGGTGAGAGATTCTTCAAGACAGCAGTCCACTGCTGTGGTCACTGTGACTGTCCAGCCTGGTAGGTGGGATGGGAAAGGGATTTGGCCCCAGAGATTAAGGCAGAAATGACACCTGGGCCTCTTGCTTCAGACAAGCCAAATTTGGTGGCAAATTCTCTAAATCTTTTAACTGTGAAGAAGTAGGGGCTGGAAGAGCTAAATCTTAATATAAAGCCAGTTTTCCATTGTGGTTCTGAATCTTGTGTTGAATGTGCGTCTACACCATGGTGTGGAGGACCAGATGGACATCCTCAGGGCCATTCGAGGGCTCCACCTGCCAGGTGGACACGCCCACACGTGTTCCACTCTGCTGCAGAGGGTGATTGTGATGTGTGGCCTGATACTCACATGGCTTGTATCCAGATGTTGGAGAATTGACCCCAGGTCACCTCACAATCCTGTAATGGTCTCATGGAAATCCAGGACTCTGCCTTCCTACACATTTAAATAACCTAAGGGTAGTTGGGTTTTCGCTTGCCAATGGTCTTGGCTTTCGAACTTTTCTAGAAGATGCTGCTGGTCCCTGTAAACCGTCCAGTGTCCTGGCAACTGAAAATATACTCAATTTGTAGACAATGCATTTTATTGTTTTATTTTATTTTATTTTATTATTTTTATTTTATTTTATTTTATTTTATTTTATTTTATTTTTTCTGTTAATATGTAGTAGGTGCTATGGGTTAGATACTGGGGATGTGGCATTAAACAAGATAGATTTGGGCTCTGTCCTCCCGCGGCTTATGGGTGAAAACCTCATGATCAGTGCATTTCTAGTGGATGGACACGGTGCTTCTGGAGCCCAGGGAAAACACACCTATCTGGGCTTGAGGCATCTGCAGAGTCTTACATGAGCTCTGGGTTGTATCTGGCCAGGTGAATTTGGGGAGAGAAGGGCAAGAGGAAGAGTTTTTTAGGCAGAAGAAACAGTATGGAGAAAGTCCATGGGATGAAAGAGAGTCTGGTAGTCCAAAGAATTAAGAAGAATGTAGCGGAACAAGAGAAAGCAGTGAGGATGTGGGCGTGTGAGGGGCAGGGGTTAGCATGCCTGCGGGTGATCTGGAGGGGGGAGGCAGGGGCCCACCGTCAAGGGCTTTGCAAATGGATGTTCACGTACGTGTTTTATCCTAAGGGCAAGAGAGGCCCCTGGACCACTGAACTTTACTGAGTAGGACAGTGAGGGTGGGACATGGTCCAGATATTGGGTAACTGCTACTAAAGTTTTTGACTACTTGACTTTTTTTTTTTTTTTTAGAGAAAATCTATTTATTTCAATATCAGTATCAGTGGTACTTTATACCTTTTATTTTTTTTAATCTTTTTTTTTTTTAAGATTTTGTTTTTAAGTAATCTCTACATCCATTGTGGGGCTTGAATTTACAATCCTGAGCTCAAGAGTTATGTGCTGTACAGACTGAGCCAGCCAGGTGCCCCTTATGTCTTTTCCTTTTGTTCAACGTGTAACCAAAATGTTTTGAGCATTTATCACTTAGCCGGCACTGTGATAGGCCCGGGGCTACAAAGACGGGGCGGGGGGGCGGGGGGGTCAGTCCTGCCTGACAAAGCAGGTGTGTTCACATAGATGTCAACTAACTTCCGTCCAGTTCCTTCCTGCCTGCCTCCCCCACTCTGTCCCCAGTCCTTCTTCCCTCCAGCTTCCCATCCTTGTTCTTTTTCCTTCTCTCTTGTCTCCATGACTGTTGAGGTCTTTTAAAGAACCAAACCTGCTGTCTGGACCCCTGGTCTCCCCCTCGGAACGGTGTAGTCCTGGCTCAGCCACAGGCCTGCAGTGGTCCCCCCAAAGGTTCCCTCAGGACACTGCCTGATCCAGACATGAGTAATTGGCTTAAATCAAGAAATCAGGGGTGCCTGGGTGGCTCAGTTGGTTACGTGTCCGACTCGATTTCGGCTCAGGTCATGGTCTCCTGGTGAGATCGAACCCTGTCGTCAGGCTCTGTGCTGAGCGTGGAGCCTGCTTGGGACTCCCTCTCTCTCTGCCCCTCACCCACTCATGCGCGCACGCTCTCTCTTTCCCTCTCTCAAAATAAATAAACATTACAAAAAATCAGGGGACTGCAGATTAATGCAAAGAGATCACCGTTTTTCATAGCATTTCTCTAATTCTAGAAATCAACAGGCCCCCAGTGGCCGTGGCCGGCCCGGACAAGGAGCTGGTCTTCCCGGTGGGGAGCACCTCTCTGGACGGCAGCAGGAGCAGAGACGACCAGGGCATCGCCCTTTACCACCGGGAGCCCGTCAGGTAGTCCCTCTGTCACTGAGCTGCAGGCGGGGTTCACACCCTGGCGCTGGGCCAGCATCGTCCTGTCTCCACATTAAACAGTCAGCTTGACCGTGCCGGGGACTTGGGATTTCAGCCCCTTTCTGGAAGTGTCCGAGCCCGGCTGCCGAAGAGTAGACACAATAGCGTGGACGGACACGATAGATGCTGGCTGGCTTTGGGGGGGAAGTGGAGCCATGCCAGGTGGAAGGGCCATCTTGCCGTGGGTGAGCTTCAGGACGGGAGAGGTGTGGGGAGGGCCTGTGTGAGGCCCTCACGAGGCCCCCCGTCTACACTCGTTTAAACCATCTGTAGACCAAAGAGATAAAGAGCTTAAGGGGGTCCTGTGTCATGTGACAGTCTTTGTGGTTTGCATGCTCAAACTCCTGGGATCCTGAATCTGCTCTTAAGAAGTAAATAATAACTATTCCCAAAGGAATCCCAGGCTTAGTCTAAAATAGGCATTGCCTCACGACCCATATGCTGAACTAGAGAATTTAGGTGGATAAAAAGTTACTGTAGACTTCCATAGACGGCATATGTTTTGGCTGTAAAGGGGGACTTGTGTTAGGACACAGATGTCCCGCCTGCCGCAGTCAGAATACCTCTGCTTTTGTTGTTCCCGCCCCTGCTTTACAGAGGTCAAGCGGCAGTGGAGATGGGGAATAGTGACAAGGCTGTCGCCACCGTGAGCGGGCTTCCGGTGGGCATGCACCGCTTCCGCCTGACGGTGACAGGCCGGCGGGGGCTGAGCAGCGCCAGCATACTCACTGTGGCCGTGAGGAAGGGTGAGTCCCAGCTCAGCGGTAGGGCAGGGGGACCGTTGCTGCTTTTCAGTCTCACGAGACCCTAACCAGGCCGTGATTACTTGGAAATGGTTGTGCTTCTTTGTTCCCAGTGGATACTGAGCTCATTCTTCTTCCGTCCATCCGTGTTAGCTGTTTCCTCGTCTCCCTCTGCAGAGAAACAGAGTCTCCTTTTGTTTGTCGAGTGTCTCTTCTCCAGGGGCCAGTCTCCTGTCACTACTGGTGGTGAACGACCGTGTCCACGTGGCAGCATTCTGCTTTCTCTCTCTGCCC